CCACCCCAGCATTTCAAGATTGAAAGAAACCCTAAAACTCATTGAATCTGGTTCTCCATCAATGCTTGAAAGTATCTATAGCATATTATCCCTGAAAAATGGCCATTTACCCTCTGCTTGGATGTGTCACTGACAGGAAACTCACTGCCTCCCACAAAACAGACATAACAGAGATGTCTAATGACTGGTGCCTATTTAGACAGGACAGGGCTCTCTGGAAGATGATGCTCATAGTTTTTGTTTTTATTTTCTACTTTGCTAAAATGTTTGTAATTTTCTATCACTGTGGAACCAATAGGACACTGCTTTATAGTTTCTATTTCTGCTTTCATGTACTTTTGACAGGTCTATGGAATTTTCAATTCTTACTATTTTTTTTTTCCTTCTGGGATATTCAGACATTATTTAGGGATGTTGTGGGAAAGGCAACCTCCCTGCCAATCTGCTGACACTGGGTTTATGTTGATCCACAACAGACCATTCCATCAACAAATTGTTCTGGCTCTAAGAAAGTTCCTCCTGACTGCGAATGTTGTGGTCTCTTTGTAGCTCTCACTTTGGTCTGAGTTGCAGAGCTTGACACATGGTGGGCTGATTCTGGCATCCTTCTCATCTCCTCTGGCAGACCAGACTCGTCTTTGACATTAATCAGATGCTGAGAAATACAGCACAGGAGTCCATCTTCTGAGCTCAGCCCTGATTGTGTGAATATAATTCCGTAGAGATCCACTTGGAGACCAGATGAGATCTGGATGGCACAGGCCTCTGTGCTCAGACAGTGCTGTATCCAGAGTTCGATGATATTGCAGTTGAAACCTTCCTCATAGGAGGGACTGAAGTCCATTAATCAATATCCTGTGGGCATAGTCATTTCATCAGTTATGCATCTACCTAATCCAAATACCATCCAGACCATACATCTCTATCTAGCATCAAATGCTCAAGGATATATCAAGAGACCCAGACAAGCCCCTGTCTTAACTGCTGACATACCTTGACTACAGTAGATTTGGAATCAAATAATCCAGGTTTGAATTCTAATACCAACACTTACTTTCTATTGTGCTTCATGCAAATGACTTAATGTCTTTCAGTCTCAGATTCCTTATCTGTAGGTTGAAGATAAAAATATTTCCTATTTCTTACGACTATTGTGAGCATGAAATGGGGTGACATACCTAACTTATGGGGTTAGTAGAACAGAGTGATGGTTATGATTGCTGTTGGCTGCAGAGTCAGATGACCTGCGCTCAAAATCCAGTTCTATTGCTGACTTCGTCCTGAGGGACAGAGGTGAATGTGTGCCCTTTAATAAATACACGTTTTTATGTTTGTGTTATGCAGAACCTTCCAAAGAGCAAGGCCCAGGGAAGAGGCCTTACCAGTCCCAGTCTAACGGAAGCAATGGAATCAAGAGTGAAGGGTGATGTGCAAAGAGGTACAACAATCTTTTCTTTTGTTAGTTCTATGTTGGTGAGATAGCTCTGGTGTGATGATGTCTCAAACAGTGCCTACCTGGCAGAAGTTGTTCAGTAATAACAGAAATAACAGCAGCCAATGTTTATTGAGTGCCTACCAAGAGCTTGGCATTGTTCTGAGTGTTTATTCATTTATTCATGTGATCATTAATGTATAAATATAAATTTGTATATTTGTATATATATTTCTGTTTTAATATCTGTTATTGCTACAGATATGGGAGTCATGGCTTAATTAATCTGCGTCGGTCAGGAATCTTTCCCTGCAAGTAACAGAAACTCAGTTCAAACTAGTTTAAGAAAAAACTTTAAAGCATGGAGTAGGGGAGGGATATGGAATTTTTGGCCCTGCATAATCAAGGATACAGATGATCTGGTCTCCAGAACATCTGCCCCAAGGGGTCTCAAATGCTATTATGTCTCTCTGCTTCTTGTTCTGCTATCTCTCTTTGTGTGGACTATGTTCTCCCCTGGTGGGGTAGCAGGCCACCAGCAGCTCC